TCTTCCCTCTCAGAAGCCCTAACGACATGTGCCTGGCCCATCACCTGCTGCCACGCCGCTGGGGTGGCACATTCGTGGTCCACAACCACCGTGTCCTCTCCACCTCCTCACATTTGGCGTGCAGGGCAGCGAAGGCTGCATCAGACAGGTCCTCAATCTGTAACAAAGCAGCTTCAGTGAGCTCTTTCATCCAAGAAACTGAGTCTAGGTATACAGTTACAGCTCAAACCAAATCCTAGACAGTGTAGAGCTGTCTGTCCTGCCAACCCCCACCCTGATACTGTCTCAGTTTAATGCAGCAGAAAGCTTCCTCTTTCTCTCCCATGAAATGGCTAATGGTTTTGAACTGCTGACCTTGTGGGACACCTTCTCCCCTGACTAGGCTCTTTTCCATCAGTACCAGCACATAAGGAGGTGGTGTGGTGTGGTGTGGGAGAGAGATGCAGACAGATTCCATTACCTCCTCGTTCTCCTCATCAGGACTCTCCTTCAGAAACTGAAGATCAACCTCTCTCCAGCTGCAAAGCCAAGGGACAGTCATGAGATGCACGCAGCCAGGTGTGTGCAGTGGAGAACAGCTCAGTGTCTGACCGACACTGCGCTCTGCTGAGCAGACTCTGCCCCACCACAGCCTGGCCTCTAGAAGAGGGGCCTAGTCAAATGCTCAACAGGCAGGAATGAGGGAAGCAGGTTGGGTGACAGTGACAAACATGAGCAAAGGCCCTGTCTAATGAGAACCCCCAAAGTCAACACCAGCTGAGGGCCACCTTACAGGGGCTAGGTCAACAGGGTCGCCCAATCTTTTGATTTGTCAACAAATTTCCTACTTTTAAACACGGTGTGTGTGTGCCAAACAAAATGTCTACAGACCTGTCATGGATAGTCACCTGCCAGATTGCGATCTCTAGACTATGCAGCAAGTTCACGCAGTGGGTTGAAAGAAGGAAGAAGGGATCAGAGGGAGCCCGTGGTGAGGAAAGAGGGTGGGAGGGCCGGAATGGGGACTGAGGGTGGGAGCCAGCTGCACTGAATTGGTGCCTCTACCTGGGAGTCAGGATTTCCTTGTATTGTAGCTTCTCCACACGGGTTGTTGCAGCAACAGACATTGGGATG